AAGGGGTGAGCTGGCCGGCCCCAGCTGCCTCTCTCCTCCTCCTGCCACTCAAGCCGCTCCGGGCTCAGCTTCCCACCTCCACGGTTTCCTGGAGGCAGCCGGCACCAGCACTCGGGCCCAACTCTGCTCCCAACATCAAGGAACCATCACCAGACCCCGGCTCCCGTGTCTAAACGCAGCAGAGGCTTCCCCTGCAGAGCGAGGGGCTTGTCTCTCTTCCCGAAAGTTCTGCCACCCTCTCCAAGCATTCTGGGGGCCTTGGCCCTGCACTAGGCCTGAAGATGGGGTGTTCCATTCCTCCTCGGAAATTCTGCAGCAGTCCCCAGTGAGGTAGGAGAGGGTGAAATCAACAGACACCTACTCCGGTCTCTGAGAGAAAGAAGGAAATCCGTATCTTGCCATCCCTGGGAGGCCTGCCCCAGACCTTACTTTCCACAAACAGCCATCTTATCAGCAAGCATTTCCGGATGGACCTACTTTGTGCCAGGCTTTCTGCTGGGCATGGGGTCAAGAGAGATTAAAAATCAACCACAGCATGATCCCTATCCTTGGGTTTCTCCCGGAGTGACACTCCTAAGGTGTGACATTAAAAATCCGTCTGGAGGGGCGCCTGGGTGGCTCAGCCGGTTAAGCGCTGACTTCAGCTCAGGTCATGATCTCACGGTTCGTGAGTTCGAGCCCCGAGTCGGGCTCTGTGCTGACAGCTCAGAGCCTGGAGCCTGCTTTGGATTCTGTGTCTCCCTCTCTCTCTGCCCCTCCCCTGCTCATGCTCTTTCTCTCTCTCTCTGCCAAAAATAAATAAACATTAAAAAAAATTTTTTTAAAACAAGGAGGGGGACAAAACAGAAGAGACTCATAAATTTGGAGAACAAACTGAGGGTTTCGGGAGGGGTTGTAGGAGGGGGGGTGGGCTACATGGGTAAGGGGCACTAAGGCATCTACTCCCAAAATCATTGTTGCACTAGATGCTAACTAATTTGGATGTACATTTAAAAAAATTAAAAAGAAAAGAAAAGAAAAACAAAAAAAAAGAAAAAAATATAAGTTTTTATTTACCTTCACCTATTCCTTCTCCAGTGTTTTTCCTTTCTTTATGTAGAGCTGAGTGCTTGAACTAGATCATTTTTTCCTCTCTCCAACGAGCTGCTTTTAGCATTTCTTGCAAGGTAAAAAATTCCCTCATTTCTGTTTGTCTGAGGAAGTCGCTATTTCTCCTCACTTTTGAAGGATAATTTCACAGTTCTAGGTTGATGGTTTTTTTTTTCTCTTGACACTTTAAATATTTAGCTCCACTCTCTTCTTGTTTGCACGTTTTCTGAGAAATCAGACGTAATTTTTATGTTTGCTCCTATATAGAGAAGGTGGATTTGTTTTTGTTTTTGTTTTTGTTTTTGTTTTTCTGCCCCACCTCTGGCTTCTTTCAGGATTTTTTTCTCTCTCTTTGATTTTCTGCAGTTTGAGAATGATATATGTAGATATAGGGGTTTTTTTG